GCCTTTGATTTTAAAATTAAGTCATAAGGGCCAAAATGATTGTTGAATATTTTTCAACAAGATCCTGTCTTTTCATTTTTCCCATTTTGTCCTGCGTATGCAAGTACAAAAAAAAAAAAAAAAAAAAAAAAGATGGCCAGGCGCGATGGCTCACGCCTATAATCCCAGCACTTTGGGAGGCTAAGGCAGGAGGACTGCCTGAGGTCACGCAGTTCAAGACCAGCCTGACCAACATGGTGAAACCTCATCTCTACTAAAAATAAAAAAATTAGCAGGGCGTGGTGGTGGGTACCTGTAATCCCAGGTACTCGGAAGGCTGAGGCAGGAGAGTCGCTTGAACCCGGGAGGCAGAGGTTGCAGTGAGCCGAGATTGGGCCATTGCACTCCAGCCTGGGCAACAAGAGGGAGACTCCATCTCAAAAATAAAATAAAAATTAAAAAAAGGTTAACCTGGCTGGGTGCGGCGGCTCACGCCTGTAATCCCAGCACTTTGAGAGGCTGAGGCAGGCAGATCATTTGAGGCCAGGAGTTCGAGACCAGCCTAGCTAACATGGTGAAACCCTATCTCTACTAAAAAATACAGAAATTAGCTAGGTGTGATGATGCGTGCCTGTAATCCCAGCTACTCAGGAGGCTGAGGCAGGAGAATCGCTTGAACCCAGTAGGTGGAAGTTGCAGTGAGCTGAGATGGCGCCACTGCACTCCAGCCTGGGTGACAGAGCAAGACAGTGTCTCAAACCAAAACAAAGCAAAACAAAAGACAGTCTCCAGCGCAGCGGTATCAAGTGCATTCAGATGGTTGTGCGTCCATGGCCACTTCTACATCGGACAGCTGCAGAGACTCCAGAGCCTGCTCTAAGCCCTGCACTGCCTCCTCCTGCTGTGTTGTCCTGGGCAAGCTACTGACCCTCACTGTGTTTCCGGCTGTCATCGTCCTTCACGGGGGGACGACAACAGTGCTGACCTCAGAAGTTTGCTCAAGAACGAAATGATGAATACCGGGCCTTTGGGAGCACAGCTGCAGGCACCGAGCTCTTAATGAGCGGGTATTGGCTGCAATCTGGGTCCTCACAGAGCGTTTTTTCTTCCCTTCCTGTGTGCTTGCAGGGAAGGAGAGCTGCTTCGAGAGGATAATGCAGAGATTCGGCAGAAAAGCTGTCTACGTGGTGATCGGTGATGGTGTGGAAGAGGAGCAAGGAGCAAAAAAGGTACTTCTTCCGCCTCTCCAACTGCGTTTTCCTGCTCTTATGAGCACCCCTCATGGCCTTACAAGGGCTCCTTCCAAGATTTCCACCACTCCCCGTGGCTGGCTGGGTCCTCCTTCCCAGGCTCCTTGCTTGCCGGTCCATTCCATTTGCAAATCGCAGAAGCATCCTGAGTAATTTCCTTCTACAAATCCCCCTCTCTGCCTCTGGCTGCCGCCCCTGGTAGCCCTGGATTGTTTCTGGGACAACTGTTCAGGAGCCTAGAGACGTTCCGACGGGGCAGGCTGGTGGGGGGCCAGTGCACATGTGTGTGTTTTATTTAATACTTACTGATCATATGTTCCAGGAACCCTTCCCAGTTAATAAAGACAGCATTAAGCTAATGAAAAAGAAAATCCTGCATTTGTGATCTTGGGCCCATGAGGAGAGGGCGGGGGGTTCTGGTGGCCACATCTCTGTTCTTGGAAAAGAAACAGCTGCCAAAGTCCTGGGTCTGGACCTGTCAACAGTGCCCCAGAGAGGCTGCCACCCCCCACCCGGAGGCCTGGGAAGTGGATTGTTAATGTCAGAGAGCTTAATTAGGGGGACCTGGTTTCCCCCATCTCTGCCTGGCAGCAAATCCCAAGGAAATGCAAAAATGTTTAGGGTCTCAGCAGATGAAACCCAGAAGAGGGAAGCCCTGGGGTCCTGGGAGAGGGCCTCGGGAGAGAGGAGCTTAGAAGGCTTTGCAGGCACTGTTCCCTCCACCTGGGAAGCTCCTCCGCTTTCCTGGAAGATACAGTCTCTATTGTCAGCCGCCATGAGCCCTGCTGAGAAATGAGCTCTTTCTGAGAGAGAAGGGGAGAAGGGATCTTGAGGGCAGCTGCCAGGGTCAGTCACACTGGTGTGTGGCCAGGCTGTGGGCTGGCATCTGGAGGTGCTGGCCTAACCCCATGCCCTTCACCACCATAACTTTATTGCTAACATCACCATTGTGTTCAGTCCTCCAAAAACTCCTACAAAGTGGGTAGTCTGGCATCCCTTTTTTTTTTTTTTTCTTTTTTTTTTTTTTTAGAGATAGTGTCTCACTCGGGCACCTAGCGCTGGAGTGCAGTGGGCACAATCTCAGCTTACTGCAGCCTCTAACTTACAGAACTCAAGCGATCCTCCCACCCTCCGCCTCTAAGTAGCTGGGATTATGGACAGGCACCACCATACCTGGCTAATTTTTTTTTTTTTTTTTTTTTTTTGGGTAGAGATGGGGTTTTGCCATGTTGCCTGGGCTGGCCCTCAAACTCCTGGACTCAAACAATCTGCCACCCCCTCGGCCTTCCAGAAAGGCTAGGATTATAGGCGTGTGCCCGGCCACACCCCATTTTATAGATGACAGAGTTTGACACCTCAGAGAGGTTAATTAATTTGCCTACAAGGTCACACCATCTTGGCCACACCTCGCAAACCTGCCTGTGTCATGGCTCCAAATGCCTGGCCAGGGAGGAGACGGACTTACAGTTTCAAAACAAGAGTTGGTTTTCACGCCTGAGCTTAGTCAGACAAGACTAGAGTCCGCGCAAAGAAGACTAGGTACAACACCGCCACACACAGAGCTCTCGTGAAAGTCCCCAGTGTCTGAGGCAGAAGCCCTAGAACGTTAGGTGAGAAACGCTGTCCACCCAGCCACTCTCTCAGCCTGACACGTGGAAGTCATTAGGCCCAGGCCACTCGGATACCTGAGCGGTGTGAAATATGGCTTGCAGGACCAGAGCGCTTCGCCTGTTTCTGCTGACAGTGTTGTTAATATCTCCATTTTAGTGGGTCACTTGTCTCCGCCTCCTCCACGAGTGATATGAATCCACTGGCATGTGGCAGTCTTATAAGCCTGGGGTAAAGGCAGGCCTGGAACATTCTCTTTCTTCGACTCTTGGCTCATTCTCTCCCAGAAAAATGAATCACGCTTTTTTTTTTTTTTTTTTTTTTTTGAGACAGAGTCTCGCCTCTGTCGCCGCAGGCTGGAGCGGCAGTAGCGTGATCATCCCAGCTCACTGCAACCTCTGCCTCCCGGGTTCAAGCGATTCGCGTGCCTCAGCCTCCTAAGTAACTGGAATTATAGGCATGAGCCACCACATCTGGCTAATTTTTTGTAATTTTAGTGAAGACGGGGTTTTGCCATGTTGGCCAGGCTGGTCTCGAACTCCTGACCTCAGGTGTTCCGCCCACCTCAGCCTCCCAAAGTACTGGGATTACAGGTGTGAGCCACTACACCCAGCCAAAATTACACTCTTTAAATAGGGCAGGATTGGCCAGGTGACAACCAGAATCTATCTTTGTAAAGAAAGGAAGGCTTGGCCAGGATGAGGGCAGGGTGGGAATGCTAGGGCAGTGAGAAGGTGCTGAAGAGATGAGAGCTGCTCCCATAGGAGATGGTTTTCTGCTTCCCTTGAGTTGGGAATTATTTTGAAACTACAGAACAAAGAGAAAAGGATACATTCAGAGCACTTTGCTTGAGAAACTTACCTTTTTAAACCCTCCCTCTCTTCCTCTTTTCATTCCTTCTACGAATATTTATTGAGCACCTACTATGTGCCAAGAGCCATGCAGTGCAGCAATGAGCATTGCATTCCAAGCTTAACCTTCCTGCAGCCTTGGCACTTGCTGTGTCTTCTACCTGCCCCCACGTTCCCCCGCATCTTTGCCAGGGCCTGCTTAAATGACACTGCCTGGAGAGGCCTTTCCTGACCCAGCTCTCAAAAGTAGACAGACATCGCTGCTTTCTACCCTATCTCTCGTTCTGTTTCCTTCACAGCACTTACCAGGAGATGAACTTATCTTGTTTATTTCTTAACTGTGGGTTTATCTGAGTCTCCAGTGAATGCCCCATAAGTGTTTGTGACCTGTGAGAACACCCCACTGGGGTCTGCCCCTTGCACCTTTATATGTCTTCCTTTGCTCGCCCAGGGATGCTCAACCTGGGATGCCCTTCCCTTCAGTGACCTGCTGACTACGAAGCACTCATTCTTTTTTTATTTTTTATTTTTTTGAGTTGAAGTTTCACTCTTGTTGCCCAGGATGGAGTGCAATGGCGCGATCTCAGCTCACTGCAACCTCCGCCTCTGGGGTTCAAGCTATTCTCCTGCCCCAGCCTCCCAAGTAGCTGGGATTACAAGTGCCCACCACCACACCCAGCTAATTTTTGGTATTTTTAGTAGAGACAGGTTTCACCATGTTGGCCAGGCTGGTCTCAAACTCCTGACCTCAGGTGATCCACCCACCTTGGCCTCCCAAAGTCCTGGGATTACAGGTGTGAGTCAGCGCGCCTGGCTTCCTCCTTCATTCTTCAAGGTCTGGGTCTCATGCGCCTCTTCTCCCCTGAGACATCCCCACCCCATTCACTTCTACCAAAAAAGAGACTGCTTCCTCTGGCTGGCTCCCATGACATTTTATTTACACCTGCCTTAATGATTTCTTTACATTCTTCCTAAGGTAGTCTTATCCTTTAAACTACTGAGAAACCCCAGCATTCTTTCCTCCATATACATGCACATATATATATATACACAATTTGTCCTGCATCCTTCCTTTTTCCTATTTATCTAGATATGTCCCTGGCTACCCAGGAGGCTGAGTCAGGAAGATCAGCTGAGCCCAAAAGCTCAAGGCTGCAGTGAGCCATGATCTGCATTGCAGCGTGGACAACAAACCGAGACTCCATCTCTAAAATTAAAAAAAAAATTAATGAAACGAAATTCAGCTGGGCACGATGGCTCATGCCTGTAATCCCAACACTTTGGGAGGCTGAGGTGGGTGGATCGCTTGAGCCCAGTAGTTTGAGACCAGCCTGGGCACCATGGTGAAACCCTATCTCTACAAAAAATACAAAAATCAGCCAGATGTGGTGGCATGCATCTGTAGTCCCAGCTACCTGGGAGGCTGAGGTAGGAGGATCACTTGAGCCTGGGAGGTTGAGGCTACAGTGAGCAGAGATCATGTCACTGCACTCTAGCCTGGGCAACAGAGGGATACCCTGTCTCAAAAAAAAGAAAAAAACAAAAAAAACTCCACATCCTGACAATAACTTGAAGCAAGTACCACCTGCTGCAAAGAAAAGGAAAAGGTAAAAACAAAAGCTATGAAGAAAACAGATTAGTGTCATCCTGACCTGGCTATAGCTACAGGAGCCTGCTCAAGACCCTCCAAGACCAGCTCTGTTTGTTCACAGTGGAGATTGACAAATGTTGGGGAGGGGTTCCAGCACCGAGCTGTGACTTTCTTCTTGAAGTAACAGGATTCAGAGCACTGCAGCCTCCAATTCCTGGCCTCAAGCAATCCTCCCACCTCAGCCTCCCAAAGTGCTGGGATTATAAGCATGGGCCACAGTGCCCAGGCAAGAACAGATTTTTAAAAAAGAATCGCTTTCCCACTGTACAATTTAACACCATGTCAGTGTACCGCCTAAGACCACAATAGTACCAACGGAGGCAAGAGGGTCCAACAGTGAACACGCTGGGCAGTGCTGGATGAGCCCGTCAGAGCAGGCCCTGAGTGAATAGAAATGGTCGACCATACTGGTGGGTACTGGCTGGATGTGGGTCTGCCAGCAACGTCAAGTGCCTCATAGTTTGGGAAGTCCCCACGTGCTAGACTTAACTGGGTTGACTTCTCACATGCCGTCTAACCATGGGCGTGGGATCCAGGGACGGGGGCAGGGGCGTAACCTTGTGGCTGCTGTTCTGTGTTTCAGCACAATATGCCTTTCTGGCGGATATCCTGCCACGCGGACCTGGAGGCACTGAGGCACGCCCTGGAGCTGGAGTATTTATAGCAGGATCAGCAGCATCTCCACCTACCATCTCACCCTCAGACCCCCTCGCCTTCCCCACCTCCCCACCGAGAACTCCAGAGACCCAGATGCTGGACACCAGGCAGGGGCCCCACAGCCAAGACGTTGTGTCCGGTGACCATCTCAGAAGCCGTCCATCAGTCCAAATGAGGGTTCCGAGAAACAAAGTACCCAACTTTGGCTTCGGAGTATTTGACTTTGGGGCAAAGGGCTGGCTCGGAGTCTAGACTCTTCTGTGAGACTCACAGAACAAAAGCAAGGAATTGACGACTTGGGGGAGGCCTGGTGATGAGGAGGGGGCGGGTTTGTCTTGTCTTCTTTTTAATTTATGGACTAGTCTCATTACTCCGGAATTATGCTCTTGTACCTGTGTGGCTGGGTTTCTTAGTCATTGGTTTGGTTTGGTTTTTTGAACTGGCATGTGGGGTGGTTCACAGTTCTAATGTAAGCACTCTCTTCTTCAAGTTGTGCTTTGTGGGGACAATCATTCTTTGAACATTAGAGAGGGAGGCAGTTTGAGCTGCTGAAAAGACTGTTGCTTAGTTTTGTTTTTAAAGACCCTACTTGACGTCATGTGGACAGTGCACGTGCCTTACGCTGCGTCTTGTTTTCTAGGAAGAGGGGGATGCTGGGAAGGAATGGGTGCTTTGTGATGGATAAAAGGCATTAAATAAACCACGTTTACATTTTGAAGTGGGGGTAGGATGTGGTTACTTTATTACCACTCGAGGCTTCCAAATGTGTTGGCCTTTTTAAGGACTTTATCAGTTGCAAAGAATAAAATCCAACTCACACTGGCTTAAGCCAAGAAAAGTGGAGTAGGGGGAGGGAGGATGGAGAAGAGGGAGAAAAAAAAGGGAAGGAGGGAAGGAGGGAGGGAGGGGAAGAAGGACAAAGGGACAAGTGTCTCCAGGAACTTTAGGTGGTATCTGTCTAGATCCAAGTGATCAAGTGAATTTCTCTCATGTGGCCTGAATTCTCAGGCAGGCTCTTCCCTGTCTGGCAAAGATGGCTCTAAGAGTCCTTCAGCAGAACCACACAGACAGACAGAGACCACCTTCTTCACAGTGGTGCAGCGAAAGCCTCAGGATTGTAGCTCATTGGCCAAATCTGAGGCTTAGGCAGCTCATGGAGCTGGATTTAGGGTTGGATTCTGTCACGAACAGCAAGTTGAAGAAGCTGATCCTCCAAGGGAAAGAAAATCAGTGAGCTGTTATTAAAAGAATTGGGGGAATTGAGGGTTGGATTGGAAAATGCAACTGACTCCCATTCCAGTGGTAGGACTTCGTTTTCCAGTGGATGGGATATGAGTGAAGGATCCAGTGTAAGGGGCAAGGAGGGACATCTGGAGAAGTTCTGAAGACATCTGGAGCACTGCCACTACCCAGAGTAGACCAGGCAGAACCTGGGTCTATCTAATTGGATGCTAAGCAGGAATATAGGCTCCTTCCTTATTAATGTTAGTAAAATCTGGCTTATCAGTCAGCTGACCCATGTCATTGGAGATGGAGATCTTAACCACCGGAGTCTCAGAGCTAGAATCTCTGATGGTTAGAAAACTATCATTGGCCAGGCATGGTGGCTCATGACTGTAATCCCAACACTTTGGGAGGCCAAGACATGTGGGTCGCTTGAGCCCGGGAGTTTGAGACCAACCTGAGCAAGATGGTGAAACCCCATCTTTACAAAGAATACAAAAATTAGCCAGGCATACGTATAGCATGCACCTGTAGTCCCAACTACTCAGGAGGCAGAGGTGGGAAGAGCTCTTGAGCCCAGGAGGTTGAGGCTGCAGTGAGCCATGATCACACTGCTGCACTCCAGCCTGAGTGACAGAGCAAGACCCTGTCTCAAAAAAAAAAAAAAAAATCCATTACCAAGGGTCAGATAGACTCCCTTACTAGACTCTGAGCTTCTCAGGGGGTAGGTACTGTTGGTTTCATCTCTGTAGCCACAGAATCAAGCACAGAGCCTGACACAAAGTAGAATCCCATTATAGATGGGATAGAATGAAGGATGGAAATATAAATGGAACCACAGCCAGATGGATGATAATATGGGTGAATGGCCATTAGGACAAATGGATAAAATGGAGGGTTAAATAGTTGAGTACGTGGGTAGATGAATGGTTGGTTAGGTGATTGATTAGATGATTAATTGGAAGGTGGGTGGGTAACTGGGTGACTGAAAGATGGATAGATGAATGAATGGATACCTACTTGGGATGACTAGATGGATAGTTGGATAAATCATGGATGTATGGATGAACAGATAGATTATTGGATAGATGACCGGATCAATAACCAAATAGTTGTGTGGTGAGATGAATGAATAGATGGTGGTTTGGATGAGTGAATGGGTGGGTGGTTTTGAGGAAATATGAATAGATGGTTAGGTGTGTTAGTGGATAATGAGTAGGTTGTTTGGATGGGTAGATGGATGGAATGATTGATAGTTGGTGGTTGATAGTAATATTACGATGGGTATGTGGATGAGAGGACAGTTTAATAGGCAGGTGGATGGAAAGTTAAATGGAAATGAAGTGTGATGGTTAGATGGATAGAGAGTGGAATGGAGGTGAAGAATCTTTAATGTTGCCTAAAATACCTGAGTCAACCTCACTGTTATCTGCCAGCTTAGGTTTCTTCTAGAATGAGTGGTGGAGCTTTACTGGATAAGCTGACTTCTAGCTGGAGTGGATAAAGAGACTGGAGTAGAGCCACCCAGTCACCAACCATCCACTGGGAGTCAGTGATGTGAATACTCCTGAATCCCCCCGACTCCCCATTGTTTAGCACCCTTGCACACAGGAATCCACTTATAATCATGATCTACCCGTCTCTCCCTTCCTGCTACCATCAAAACCTGCTATCGGAGAAAATTCTGTTTAGGGTCCAACAAAGGGTAAATTACTTATTAAGAAAATTTTTTTCTTTTAGTAGGATTTCATTTGAAACACAAGTAGAATTTCAGCCGTGCACACAGGAGGTTTTGGGTGAAACAGATCTTCCCCTTGATCCTGAAATTAAACTACTTAAGTGATCAACTACTTTTTTGTTGTGATGAGTAAATGTCAAAGACTAGTGCTGACAAAAGCTAACAGTCCACAGTCTTTAAGGTAAGTGTTTTAACCTGAATTCCTTCTGGATGACTCAGAGTTTCTGGGGGTAAGGATAATGATGTTTTATCTCATCTCTGTCATGACTCTTGCCATCACATAGGGCCTGTCGGCACAGATATGGCAGCTTAATGAATGTTGGATGGCTGAATGGATGGTGAATGAGTAGATAAATTGGTGGGTGGATGGAGAATGGATGGAATGGATGATGGGATGGAATTGATGAGTGGATGGTGGATGGATGGAGGGATGATACATGGATGAATGGATAGGTTGAATGAGTGGATGGCATGGATGGTAGGATGCAGTGGACAGATGGGGGGGTGGTTAGGTGGATTAGAATGGATGATGGATGGACTGGGATTTCATGGTCCCAGAGGTTCTTGACGTTCATGTTTGCCCAGCAGTATGTTGCTGCTCTCCAGAACATTCTTAGAAGTAGAGTAACTGGACTATTCAGGACTCGACATACAAAAACTCTTGGCCTCTCCAGAAGTCCAACCTTGACTCCAGAACTTCCTGAGCAGCCCAGCAGAAGGATAGAGACCCACAGAAGTGCCCAGGTTGGGCTCCAAGGATGAAAGAATTTGCATATCCAAGGGATTAGAAGCAGAGGAGATACCATTTTGGATTGTTTTCCATTGCAAATGACAGAACATTATCAAAATGGCTTAAACAAACAGAATTATCTGCTCACTTGACTAAAAGATTCGAAGAATGTGTGACCTCAGACCCCTTCAAATGCAGACTCAAGACCATCTTTAAAATTCAATTTACTTCTCTGCATCCCTGGACTCTGTTTCCTGTTATTTGGCTTCGTTTGTAGGCAAATCCACATTCTTAGAGGAAGCTGTGGAGGGCATAATCCAACAAAGATTTTCATGAGGAAAGCAATTGCTTAATTTTTAAAAAGATAACTGCCTCAGGGCCGGGCACGGTCGGCTCAGCCTGTAATCCAACACTTTGGAGCCGAGACGGGTGGATCACGAGGGCAGGGATCGAGACCATCCTGGCTAACACGTGAAACCCGTCTCTTACTAAAAATACAAAAAACTAGAGCCGGGCGAGGGTGGTGGGTGCCTGTAGTCCGCTACTCGGGAGGCTGGGCAGGAGAATTGGCTGAACCTGGGAGGCAGAGCTTGCAGTGAGGCTGAGATCCGGCCATGCGCACTCCAGCCTGGGCGACAGAGCAAGACTCCGTCTCAAAAAAAAAAAAAAAAAAAATGACTGCCGTAGGACAGAATAATCAGGTTAAATGTATTATGTGAGTTAATAATGTCCTTATTGTTTAAATATTTTGAGTTGTTTCTTCCTGAGTTACTTGCAGCCAAAAGCACTACCAACTTATATAGCACATAATAAATAGCATTACTAGTGGTTTTTTTTTTCTTTTTTTGGTGGGGGGGGGGACAGAGTCTTGCTCTGTGGCCAGGCTGGAGGTGCAGTGGTGCGATCTCCGGTCACTGCAAGCTCTGCTCCTGGGTTCATGCCCACTTCTTCTGCCTCAGCCTCTTGGAGTAGCTGGAACTACAGGCGCATGCCACCCACACCAGCTAATTTTTGTATTTTTTTAGTAGAGACGGGGTTCACTATGTTAGCCAGGATGGTCTCCTGACTTGTGATGCACCCTCCTTGGGCCTCCAAAGTGCTGGGATTACAGGCGTGAGCCACCGTGCCTGGCCCAGCATTACTAGTTTTTTCATATCACACAGGCTCCGATTTCTACTCAGGAAATCAGTCATTCATATTGCCAACAATTGGAGCAGGGCATTTCTTCATCAGATATTTATTGAGCATCCAAAATGCATTAGGCAGTGTCCCAGGCACTACAGACTAAATCTGAATAAGATTTGAGTCTTTCCCAAAAAAAAATTGATTTGACCACCTGAAAAAAAACATAAGCAGAGACAAAGGAACATTGAAATTCAGATCACAGATAAGAGCAAGAGTTAGTCCCCTAATCTCCCTCATACATAAAGAGCTCTTAGAAATCAATAGCAGGTCAACAACCAAATTTAAAATGATCAAAGGCTATGAACAGACTTTTTTTTTTTTTTTTTGAGACAGAGTCTTGCTCTGTCACCCAGGCTGGAGTGCAATGGCATGATCTTGGCTCACTACAGTCTTTGCCTCCCGGGTTCAAGTGATTCTCCTGCCTCAACCTCCCGAGTAGCTGGGATTACAGGCACGTGCCACCATGCCCAGCTAATTTTGTATTTTTAGTAGAGACAGAGTTTCACCGTGTTAGCCAGGCTGGTCTCAAACTTCCAACCTCAGGTGATCTGCCTGCCTCGGCCTTCCAAAGTGCTAGGATTACAGGCATGAGCCATAGCACCTAGCCAACATTTTATATTTTTTAAAATGCAACTGGTTCTTGTTTTTTGGTGGTGGTGGTTTTTGGTGTTTGGTTTTTTGGTTTTGTTTTGTTTGGTGAGGGTGGAGGATGTTGTGTGTGTGCATTTTCTGGTTTTGATTGTTTTTTTAGACAGGATCTCACTCTGTTACCCAGGCTGGAATGCAGTGACAGAATCACAGCTCACCGTAACCTCAAACTCCTCAGCTTAAGCAGTCTCCC